TCATACAAGAGCCAAGGTTGCCCACCCCTGCTCTAGGGCTACCTGAACGTGACGCTGGGATGGATCCTGGAATCCCTTGATGGACACCGTGGGAGAGATGGCACAGCCTCCCGTCCTTTAGCAGAGGGTTACTCGACATGGAACCGTGTTTCTGGAAGAGGAGATTTGTAGTCACGGCTGGCCCAGATTCGGGGCTCCCAGGGGACTCTTCCAACCCCCCCAGGAATGACCTTTGGCCGGGAAAAGTGTCTCCCCCTCTCCAATGGGACCAGAGCTGTCCCCACGCAACACCAGGCAAGAGCAGCCTAAATCGTGACTTGATCTCCTCCCCTGGCATCTTCATTCCCCCCCCCTCCATCACCGGAGAGTTTTGGCTCTTAAAATAACAAACCTCAAATGGGTTTCAGCCCAGAATGAAAACATTTGTAAGGCTTAAAGGGGCGGCTTTTCCTTGCTCGTCTCTTTCTTGTGTTCCTGGTTTTTGGGGAAACAGGAAACCTCTTAATGGCCTCTGACACGACTTAAACAAACACCTTCGTGGTCGTGCAGATCCTATCATTCCTGCCTGCTGCGTTGCTTGGGCCCAGAGAAGGGCTCAACCTCCGAATCGAGGCCGGCCAGGAAGAAAAAAGCACCAGAAGCCACAAAACTCAGCTCTGTCCGCTGGATTCCCCTGGCCTCGTCCCACCCTGGGTGTGAAAAGACGGGTGAGGGAAGGGCAGCTGCTTCAGAAAGTCGGAGGCGCTTAGATCCCAATCCAAAATTGGAGCAGAGGCCAACCGTGTGAGGCGCCCAGGTGTGTTTAGCTGTCCAGGTGCAAGTTGCAGATTTTTGCAGATTGCAGAAATGTGGGGCAAATTCTGTTGTTAAGTGAGTTTTGTCCCGTTTTACGACTTTTGTGAAGTGAATCACGGCAGCTGTTAAATCACTAACCCCCTTCGTAAAGGGATCCTGGCTTCCCCACTGACGCTGCTTGTCAGGTCGCAAAGAGGGGATCACACAGGACTCCCTGGGACTCTGCGACCGTCATAAACGTGAATCAGTTGTCAAGCCTCCGAATGTGAATCCCGTGGTCGTGGGGATGCTGCAATGGTCATTAAGTATGAAAAATGGCCGTAAGTCACTTTTTTCAGTGCCGTTGTAACTTCGAATGGTCACTAAGCAAACTGTTGTAAAGCGAGGACCAACTGTGGTTACACCTGGATTTTTTTTACCCCCCCTTGAGTAAAAAGAGACTCCGATCTCCCAAGATTTTTTTGTTGTTGAGACGTGATTATGCAACATCATATTAAACCACATTAAAGCACAACTGGTGGAGATATTAACGCAGGTCCCAGGAAGAGAGCTTCCACACATGGTTCCATTACGGAGGGTGCTCAGCTTACAATTCACGCCAGACCTTCCATCCCTAAGTGAGATGACTGTTAAGTGAGTTACGCCCAGTTTCCTGACCTTTTTCCCAGGGTCCTTGAGCCCATCCCTGTGACCATTCAGCCAATCTCTGCCATCTTTCAGCTTCTCCCACCGACTGTGCTGGACAGAAGCTCCCTGGGATGGCCGCAAATGCGGATCATGTGACCCCAGGATGGGGCAACCCTCATCAATGCACGCTGGTTGCCAAGTGCCTAAATTGCGATCCCAAGACTGTAGGAGCACCGCAAACACAAGGACCAGCCACGACTCACCTTTTTTCCAGCATCATTGTCACTCTGGATCAGCGGTTCTCAACGTTTGTGTGACGGCGACCCCCGTCACACAAACGTTATGCGCATGCGCGGCGCCGCGCGCATGGGGCCCCCCCCCACGCGCGGCTCGCATGCGCGGCGCCCCCCCCGTGCGCGGCGCGCATGGGGGCGGGGCCCCCCGCAGGCGGCGTGCATGCGCGCCGCCGCCCCCCGCGCGCGGCGCGCATGGGGGCGGGGCCCCCGCGCGCGGCACGCATGCGTGGCGCCACCCCCGGAGGCGCGCCACCGCCCCCACGCACGGCGCGCATGTGCGGTGGCGCCCCCGGGAGGCGCGCCGCTGCCCCCACACGCGGCGCGCATACACGGTGGCGCCCCCGGGAGGCGCGCCGCCGCCCCCACGCGCAGCGCGTGTGCGCGGCACCGCCCCCCCGGAGGTGCGGCCCGCCCCCCCGGAGGCGCGGCCCGCCCCCGGAGGGAACAAAATGGCGGATCGCCGCGTTTGGCGACCCCACAAAAGAGGTCGATCGACCCCAAATGGGGTCGCGACCCATAGGTTGAGAACCGCTGCTCTGGATAGTTGTTAAAGGAATGATTGTAAACAGAATGATTGTAAACTGAGGACTATCTATACCAGTGGTTCTCAACCTTTTTAATGCCACGACCCCCAACCGGTTGTAAGTTGAGGACTACTCAAGCGGTCGTAAGTCGAGGACTACTCAACTGGTGCAGCACCGTTTGCAGAAGGGGACTTTTTGCGGGCTCAGCAGGGCAGAGACAGCCTGGACAATTCCTATTGGCTTTTGAAAGGCAATAGAATTAGACTCTATTCAAGAGAGTCTATTCTATTGGCTTTCAAAAGCCAATAGAATAAAAGGGAGTAGCACAGCTAAGGAAAAGGGGAAAAAAATGGCGGACTGCGTTGTTTGGCGACCCCCGTGAAATGGTCGTTCCACCCCAAATGGGGTCCCGACCCACAGGTGGAGAACCACTGGTCTATACAGAAGCACAAGAGAACCACGAGCAACAGCATTAACTGTTTCCTGGTCTGGGATCAGAGGACAAAACTGGATTCCCATCCATCTTCTCCTTCATTTCCCCCCTTAAACACCAGCCGTGCAATCCCACTCTTGTTTGCAGTCTGGTATGGGGTGTCCTTCTAAGGAAGTTTTGCCTATAGCAAGACCTCCACAGAGTGTGCTTTTTGCCCGTCTCCAAGAAAGATCCATCCAGGAAGCCCTGAATGCAGGGAAGACCTTCCTCTCAGACAAGGTCCTCAAGAAATGGAAACATGGCCGTTGAGCTGATTAGGGGAGAAAGGCTAGGGCAGAGAGAACAGGCTTTTGGATTTCATTAGACAAACTGGGCATTGATCTTTTTTTAAAAAAAAAATCTTGAGATAATATAAAAGAGAAACATGAGGAAGCCTGATGATCAAAAGCACCGTATTGAAGAAGTTGATAAAGTCTGTGGAAGGCTAACTGGTACGCATGTTCCCTGCCCCAATTTTCTTTCTCTATGATCTCATGAAGGATCAACGGTCAGCCCTGCCAAAATCTCTCATTTCACACTTTCCTTACTTGAAAATTGCTTCCTTTAGACCAGGGGTCCCCAACCCCCGGTCCATGGACCGGTACCGGGCCGCAGCATGCCAGCAACCGGTCCGCACAACCAAGCAAAGCCCCACCTGTGGGATGCAGGCAGCACACAAAACCACACACCCTCTGGTCCACGGAAAAATCTCCCTCCACGGAACTGGTCCCTGGTGCCCAAAAGGTTGGGGGCCTCTGCCTTAGACTGATTCTACACCAAGCAAACCCATCAGATTCTCCTATTACCTATTGTCAGAAATATAAACAGCCTTGACTATTTTTGTAGGGCACCAAAAGCCAAGCGGTGGGCTACCAGCCCAGACCCCCGAACTACGTGTGTAGGCACCGAGAGGGAAGGGCGGTCCAATAACTCAAAAGTACAAGTTCTGAAGACATTTAAGGAGAATTTAGTACAGGCAATCCTCGACGTACGACTGCAATTCAGCCTAAAATTTCTGTTCTTAAGCGAGACATTTGTTACGTGAGTTTTGCCCCATTTTACGAACTTTCTTGCCACTGTTGTTAAGTGAATCACTTCAGTTGATAAGTTAATAACCCGGTTGTTAAGTGAATCTGGCTTCCCCAATGACTTTGCTTGTCGGAAGGCCGCAAAAGGGGATCCCGTATCCCCGGGACGCTGCGACGGCCATAAATATGAACCAGTTGCCGAGCGTCCGAATTTGATCCCATGTTCTGGGGAATGCTGCAAAGGTTGTAACTGTGAAAAACGGTCCTAAGTCACTTTTTTCAGTGTCGTTATGACTTTGAATGGTCACTAAATGAACTGTCGTAAGTCGAGGACTCCCTATAAGTGCAGTGTTGGGAATGCAAATAAATTATTCACAGGGGCATCCTTAAAAAACACAGGAAAAAAAAAATCTAATGATTGTCATCATGACCTGGAAAGAACGTTTCGGCTGTACCTGCACAGGATCTCTAGAAGTTTCTCCTAGTCCAGGGTTGGCAACCTTGGCTCTTTTATGACTCAAGGACTTCAACTCCCAGAATTCCTGAGCCAGCGTGGCTCAGCTTGGAAACCTCTCCCTTTCCCCTCAGTGTGGCTGGCTCAGGAATTCTGGGAGTTGAAGTCCACGAGTCATAAAAGAACCAAGGTTCCCCACCCCTGCCCTATATCAGGGGTCCTCAACCTGGGCAACTTTAAGACTCGTGGACTTCAACTCCCAGAATTCCTGAGCCAGCCTGGCTCAGCTTGGAAACCTCTCCCTTTCCCCTCAGCGTGGCTGGCTCAGGAATTCTGGGCGTTGAAGTCCACGAGTCATAAAAGAGCCAAGGTTGCCCACCCCTGGACTAGACTATGAAGACAAAGCACAGTGATAGTGGTAGGGAAAACAATGTTGTGGGACTGGTTCCAAAAACATGTTGTGATCTTTCAGAAAGCGCATTAAGGCCATCACGAAGCCCTGGGACACCCGTAAAGGCCTAGCCATCCCCTCAACACAGGCCTGTTCTGAAGAGGTCCCCATCTGGCGTCCAGCCACTTCTGGACCACACAAAAGAGTTCACTGTGGCAATGGAGACTCCCAGGATGGAACGTTTTGTGCGTCCTGAGCCGATCCCAGCCAGGCATCTTCTGCAACACCTCCCCCCCCCCAGGCCCAGGGATTTCGGTGGCGTGGGCGAGGACCTGCATTTTGACAAGTAGGGCCTGGGCTGCCCGTGACCCCCTCCCCACCCCTTCTCAAAAGGCCGCGCCTGAAACACTCACGTAGGTGGGCTGGAAGCCTGAGGGTCTCTTCCTCCATCCTGATGGCTCGGGGCAGCGGGACATGGAGGGGTGACGAGGAAGGATAGTCGTCTACTGGGCTCACCGGCGGAGTATACGAAATCCTTTCCTGCTGTAAAAGGGAAGAGAAAACCACGTGAATTCGGGCTAGCAAAACTAGGAGAAGTGAAACAAATCCTATCGGAAAAAGTAGAAAATCTGCGTCCCGAATAAAAAGGAAATCGTTATTTCTGGCACCTTCCAGGGAGAAATGGCGAGTCTTTGGGGGGTGCACGGAAGAGTCAGCCTTTTTCAAAACTCTCCTCTTTCTCTCTTTTGACTGTGTCTCCCCAGTTCAAATTCTTCTTGGTTACCAAAGGGCTTCTCCTCACCAGTTAAGCCGCATCTGATCTGAGTTACGAGATGGGAAGCCGAGCGTCGGCTTCAAATAGCCCTGCCAATAGGCTCTGCTGGCCACTGGGGATCCGGTAGGGCAATTTACAAGCCTGCTGTTAAGTTCTGATACGAGTAAATTATTATCAGTTGGAAGGAAGGCAGGCAGGCAGGAAGGCAGGCAAACAGAAGGGCAGGAAAACAGGAAGAAAGACAGGAAGGCAGGCAGGAAGGAAGGAAGGCAGGAAGGAAGGGAGGGAAGGCTGAGCTGTGTGTTTATGGAACAGAACAGAGAAATATTCCTTCCTGAAGTGACAATTTAAACTGACCCAGATTTTATAACCAGTCCAAGATTAAAACTTAACTATAACTGAAGCAAATATAACCCATTATTTGCAGATCATTCTCAATGGGGTAAACTATTGTTTAGTGCAGAAATATGTAGCTCGTTGCTTTCAGGGATTTCCAAAAACGTCTATCAGAATGTATTAAAGGAACAGAAGAAAAATGTTAAATAAATGACTGTATTATTCACATTTATTTTTGAGCCATACTACATAAATGGAATTAAACTGAGGTTTCTTCTGATTCCACCAAATATTTCAGAGACCAGCCCTGCTCCCCCCAACAACCCTATGTGGCCCCCCAATCTGGAAAACGCTGGGTTTTAAGGGCAGTTTAAATAATCTACTTTGCGGATAAATTCTCTTGTAGACCAAACTAGGTGATTGTTTCTCTAACCACAATTGGCCAGGTTCACATAATTACACTAGGATCAAACGATACAGAAATTATGGCTAACACAACAGGGTAATCCAGTCGCTACATCCTCTAAACTTCCAAGTGGAAAACTAGCAGCTCCAATGAAATATACTTGAAAAAAAGTTCAACCATCAGCAAGAGTTAATTTAAAGAGATAACTGGAGTACAATAATAATAAAAAAAAAACCAGAATCATTTCACTATTTGTAAAATGTTGGTATATTTTCCTGAAACTTTGTTAAGTATTTTGCTACCATTAAACAAAATCATATAAATTACTTTGGGCATTCTTTGGGGGGACATGATAGCAGTATTCCAATATCTCAGGGGCTGCTCCAAAGAAGAGGCAGTCAAGCTATTCTCCAAAGCACCTGAAGGCAGGACAAGAAGCAACGGGTGGAAACTGATCCAGGAGAGAAGCAACCTAGAACTAAGGAGAAACTTTCTGACAGTGAGAACAATTAACCAGTGGAACAACCTGCCTCCAGAAGCTGTGAATGCTCCAACACTGGAAGTTTTTAAGAAGAGACTGGACAGCCATTTGTCCGAAGTGGTATAGGGAAGACATGTCAAACTCGCGATGTCACGTAATATCGCACAACGTATGGGGCCAGTTTTGCCATTGCCGGCAATGAGGTGGTCACGGCTTCCATGTGACGCATCTGGCCCGCAGGCTGGCCGTTTGACACCCCTGGTATAGGGTTTCCTGCCTGGTTTTTCACACTTCTGACTGACCCACAGTCATGTGATCAAAATTTGGGCGTTTGGCAACTGGCATGTACTTATGACGGTTGCTGTGTCCCAGGGTCACGTGCTCAGCTTTTGCCCCCTTCCGACAAGCAAAGTCAATGGGGAAGCCAGATTCACTTAACAACTGAGGCGAGAAAGGTCATAAAATGGGGCAAAATTCACTCAATAAGGTCTTGCTCAGCAATGGAAATGTTGGTGATGGTCCAATTGAGGTTGAGGACTAGCTACTTGAAATGTCACTCTGGAGGGGTGATCCAGCCGCTTCTCCTCTGAGGGGGTCTTGTCTGCCTTAGGAAGGCATCCACAGCACTGCCACATCAACATCTATTAGTCAACCAAGCTGCCTCTTAAAACTACATTAACACAAACATAACTTAACACTCAGAAAGTGTGCAAACGCTCCCATGCATAGAAGGCCTAATGAGGAAAAGGCAGTCACACCCCCATAAGATTTACAATCTGGAAGGTATTTCGTGGGTGCAAATCTAAATATAAATTAGATATTCATTCAAGGTTTTTTGTCGATCATTATGCAGAATGGCAACACTGGATGTTTCAAATAAATTGATGTTATAAAACTTATGCATTGGGGAAAACTCCTACAAGCTGGGAAACTGGAGTTGTAAGATGCTAGTTTAAATCAGGACAAGTTGCCGACATCATACGCTAGAAGGATTGCCATCACTTCCCCATAACATTTTCAGCACAGGCCACCCCAAGGCTGCTTATAAAGGAGTGTCGGTGAAGAAGTCTGTCGTCCAATCTTTAAAATGCCACCTCTCCACTTTAAAAGCCAGCCCATAATTTAGGGGGAAAGCACATGCCCCAAATAGCAGATTTTTACCCGAACCACGCTGGTTCCAGTAAAAGAATTTCCAGTCCTGGGACTGGGAAGGTTTTTTGCCCCAGATTCTAGAAAACCACTAGCCACCTGCTTCCTCTTGGTGGTTCTCTTTTTAAACAGGAAAAGCTATGCTAGGAATTTATATCACTTGATTGCCTCTTAATTGCATGAGGGCTACATAAAATTCTTCTTTGCTGGCCACGTGCACAGAACACCATCTTATAGGATCATCTGTGCTAGAACTGGAAACTGGCCTTAGATCGGTGATTTCCTCTTCCGTTATTACTAACAGGGTGTAAAATATGGATTTATTTTGCCAGCATTAGTTGACTACTCTGGAAGACCACTGGAGTGAAACTTCCACTTGAAAGAGCAGCAATAAATGCCTGCTAAATGTTTGGCAACAGCTACGACACTGTTCCTGGTTAAGACTGCAAACTGCACAAAAACTACACGCTATTGTCCGTGTGTGTGTGTGTGTGTGTGTGTGTGTGTGTGTGTAAAACTCCGATATATTTTTGATTTTGTCTGTATTTTTTCAACATTATTTCCTCCTAGTTTATTTTTTACTTAGTTTTGCCTTAAGAGAAAAAAAAAAGAGAGAGATTGGTCTTTCGGCTTTTGGCTACTGATTTCCAACTTCATCCCTCTTTGCATTTCCTGCTCTCTGTGACCTGTTTCGTTTGGTTGTTAAATTTGGGCCTGTGTCAACAAGTACTTGGCCAAAGATTATTTCCCTTCAAGATTTGGAGACGCCGATCAGCAGCATCATTTCAAACTTTAGCTTTCAACTGATTTTGCTGCAGAATCGGCACCCAACCAAATTTCTACAGGATTCCTCCATGTTCCCTTCTCTGGGTGGCTTGGAGGGAGACACTCTCTTTCGGCTCCTGGAGAAGGGAACGCTTTGTACACCACTCTGAGTTCCTGAATAAAAAGAAGAATATAAAGATAATAAATAAATACAGCTATACTATAATCTGGGGACCAGAATAACTGGATCTAGGCAATCTCTTGCAACATCTTGCTGGTGCATTAACCCCCAGCACGAACAATCCCCAAAAAACCACAGCAAGCTCACACAGCCTCCCAAGGATTGTGTGTGTGTGTGTGTGTGTGTGTGTGTGTGTGAGAGAGAGAGAGAGAGAGAGAGATTAAGAATTAAAGCCGCAAGGATTCAGAGGTCTTTGCCAACTTGAATCCACTCAAGATTCACTCATCCTGTGAATCTCTGCAGCGTTCACTGGACTTGTGCAACAATGACAGAACCTGTTGAATGGCTTCCCAGCAGCTATCTCCATGCTTAGATTCTCATCTACTGTGCCAGGACAACAGAAAGCAAATAAGTCTCAGTGTTTCTTAATGCCAATAAGGAAATTATTGTCTAAAATAAAATGCAATTCAGTATCAACCAGGCAAGGGATCAACTGCTGGAGATAAACTTGGATTCCTATCTATTCTGCCTCCCGTCTGCTAAACTCAACAGTGACCAACTTCATTGTTCAAAGGAGGTTTGAAGTTTCCCTCTTTTCAGATGGAAACAAGCCGACACTTGCTCTCTGCTACTAACCAAGCGAGAACGCGGAAACCCGCGTCCATCCCAAACGAGTACTTGAAGTCTGATAGGCATTTCTGGAGATATTGCAAATCAAAAATCAAAACTGAAAATTTTACAATCCAAGTGAGATATTCACTTCAATCTACGAGTGCTTTAGACTTGTAGTCTTTCCTAAACATTCCTCAAAAACAATATTTTGATTTAATCATTCACAATCTCACACTTTCAAGATATCCTGCCGTGTGTTTTGTAGGATCAGGAAATGCAAGGATCGCTTTTCTTTAAAAAAAAAATAATCAAATTTATCTTTTCAATTTTGCAAGCTTGATGTTCTAGTTTTGTAACTTCATATCACCATGACCATCAGGCCTGTCTTCCACAATCCTGTCCTATTCGTCAGTTTAATATACAGAAGATCCCCGTGAGTGCTACATTATGGAGCTGTACTCTAAAAATGTCATCATCTCCTCTTGCAAAGTAATAATAATAATAACAATAATAATAAAGTTGGAAGGGACCTTGGAGGTCATCTAGTCCAACCCCCTGCTCAGGCAGGAAACCCTATACCATTTCCGACAAATGGCTGTCCAGTCTATTCTTAAAAACTTCCAGTATTGGAGCATTCACCACTTCTGGAGGCAGCTTGTTCCACTGGTTAATCATTCCAATTGCCAGGAAGTTTCTCCTTAGTTCTAGGTTACTTCTCTCCTTGATGAGTTTCCACCCGTTGCTTGTCCTGCCGTTAGGTGCCTTGGACAATAGCTTGACTCCCTCTTCTTTGGGGCAGCCCCCGAGATATTGGAACACTGCTATCATGTCCCCCCTC